TTCGCCCACGACTACCCGCATCCCCCCCCCCGACGCTCAGCCGTGGCCCCCAAGCCTAGACACCTGCTCCTCTCTTCCCCCCTCCCCCCCCAGCCCAGGGACCCAGAGGGAAAGCCTGATGCTTGGTCCCAGGCTTGCATGGAGTTTCCTGCGCGGCGCTCTCTCCTTCCCTCAGGGCATGCTGGGAACTGCAGCTGCCAGGAACCCTCTAGCTCCCTCTCCCTCCCCCCAGCAGTGTCTTCTATGTGTGAGCTGAGGTCTGCCGGGCCCAGTGGCAGCTAGCCGTACTGCGGCCCATTTCTGTGGGGCAAAGGAAATTCTACACGCACAATGTTAAGTTCTGCAAAATTCTGCATTGCGCAGTGGCGCCGAATTCCCCCAGGAGTATTGCATGTAATTATGAAATTACTAATTCAGAATTCAGTCGGCTAATTTTGTAAGCACACCCACATTAAAAAGTGTATCTCATTCACTGCTGTTGAGGTCTGACGAACACAGGAAATAGTGTCGCGGCCGCTGGCGTGATTCACCACCACCCCGTGGCACGTGCGCACTGCACAGTGCGACTCTGATAGGAGGCAAGCTGCAGCGATTGTCTGGGGGCAGCATAGGAGGGTAGCGTTCCTAGGGTCAGTCCACCCCTTCTCCTTGCTTGGGAATTGTTTTTACATAAATATTCCCAAACGTCTCAGAGCAAGGCTGTTATCTCTGTGAATGAGATCAGAGTGATTCACACTCATGCATTTGAACTGACTAGGGGCTGGAAAGGCGTTTTCTGCACAAGGCACATTGGCAGAGAGCGGGTCAGGGGAGGCATGACTGTCCCCTGGAGCATTGAGTAGCCATCATCTCTTGGATCAGGTGGCTTGTATCTCATTCTTTAATCAGTGGAGAGTGAAGCATTGATAGATCTCAGCTCTGGCAAGGGAGTGGCGTGGTCTAACCCAGTGGTTCTCAACCAGGGGTCTGGGCTCCCTGGGGGGCTGTGAGCAGGTTTCAGGGGGTCCGCCAAAATAAATCAGAGAACAGGCCCTGT